ACGCATTATTTAATTCAGGAAAATTCTGGTAAAATCGGGTCCGCGGTGCGGAGCAGGTCGGCCGCGGAGGCGGCCGCGTATGCGTCCGCCATCCGAGATCAGGCCCCCGGACGCGTCCACGGGTGTTTCATAGCCTAAAAGGACCCAAAAGAGGGTTCAAAATACACTAGACCCGAACCATCTACACATAGGAGAAAACAAGCAAAACCAAGTCCAAACCAGCTGGTCCCTTCACACAGTCCAAGTTCGAAAAACAAAGGAAACAACCAAAAGAAACAACCCAAAGAACAGGGAGGAAATCCTGGTTCACTCAACACGGTATCCCCAATTGAAAAGGAAAGGTTCGTCATTCCGGAGTCGAACCAGGTATTCCCGGTCAACCAGGAAATCTGGACAGGACGGCCTTTCAGGCCTTTTTTATTGTCATTATAGTATTACGTGGGGGGAACCCCGTAGCAGCCACATCCGTGCTCACGCCTCCAACGACTGAACATGCGGGAGCTGCACCTACCAGCAGGTGCGACACCTGCTACAGCAGCACGTGGGCGATACCGGCCAGGGGTCAGCCGGTAGCATCAGGACTGAGCTTGGGGAAGTCACTGTGCCTCCCCTCCGGTCCCCGCCCCCTATGAACATCAGCAGTCTCTGCTCAATGCCACTCGGGGGACCAACGGCATATCTCTAGGTGGCGGGCGCCAAGCTTGCCCAGGAAGGTGCATGAGGCCAATGGGGATTGAACTCAAGAACTCCTGAATGCCACTTGCGTGCCTTACCAACTGAGCTAGGCCGCTGATAACTAAACCGTTTTCCTCAACAAAACGAAAGAGAACAAAAAATAAAAAATAAAACCGTGTCCGTGCTCTGCCACTGCTTTCCTCACCTAACGAAAAAAGAAGAAAAGAAAACCGTGTCTGTACAAAATCTGTGCAGAATCGGCAACAGAAAGAAAAACACGGCATACAGAATCTGTTCGCGGCCCCCCAAACCCCGAATTCCTTTCGACCGCTCGGGGCATTTGAACCGAAAAAAAAGGGGCTGCGCCCTGGCCTTTTTGACGGCGACCACATCCGAACCCGGTTTTCAGCCCTCTTCGACTTCGGCCACCCTCCGAACTGCCCTGTGACCGGTCGGTGAACAGCGACCGTTTGTTCCTACGTCAGAACACCGAGGTATAGCGCCAGTCTGAGCGTGCCCCTATTTCAAGCCGCTGACTCTCCCTCCACACTAATTTTTCGGGATTTTAGGGATTATGTGGATTTGGTACGCCAGTCTGAGCGTGCCCCTATTTTGGGGAGAACACTATAGGGGCACGCTCAGACTGCTGTATCGAGTATAGGGTTCTCCCCAAAATAGGGGCACGCTCAGACTGGCGTACCAAATCCACATAATCCCTAAAATCCCGAAAAAATAGTGTGGAGGGAGAGTCAGCGGCTTGACTGAAAGTTCGCAGCCCGTACTCGATACAGCAGTCTGAGCGTGCCCCTATTAGGGACAAACCTCCTTTTTTTTTTTTTTTTTTTTTTTTTTTTTTGTACATGTATCTTTATTACTGAGAAAGAAAGAAAAATGATCATGTCGGGGCTGGCCTACCCCAGTTGGCTTTGTAGTTACACTGCACATTCCAAGTCCTACATTTCGATCAAGTGGCTGAAAACAAATCTTCCCTCTGTGTAAAAGCTGTCCTAGGCCGTGGTCCCACTAGCAAACGGATAGGATAGAAGAGGGTATTTATTGGCTGACACAGTGGATGCCGTCGACATGCGGAGATCCGGTGGTTATGCATTTTAGTGATTTAGTGATTTATGTGTTACGTTTTTTTTTGGGTGACAAAAAAACCCTCTTCCTCTTCAAATGCTCTCTTCAAACAAAGAAACATTTCGTTTTCGTTCGGCTCAATTAGGCCCAAAGTATACCTACGCTGGAAAAATGGGACCACCACTAGAACGTCCAACAACGGATGTCTTCAGAGGGACTAATGGCTGTTCCGTCCTCTTCAAACATCGCTTCAATGCTAAAATTCAGAACGTAAAAAGAATGCTTTCGAAATTCCTTTCTGCCAGAAAAGCACGTTACATCCCCACTACGCCGTGGCTCCACTGCGGATGCGGGCAGGTCCCTTTCGCTTCTTCGTGGCGGTAGGCTCGGGATCAACCTCCTCCTTCACAGGTGCCTCCCTCTCAGACAGAATAAGCTCGATGTGGCATGGTGCTGACATGTACGGATTGATATGGCCGTGACGATACGTCCTCCTCCTATGCTTTTGTGCCTTGTTGACCTGGGGCAAGGTCCCACTAGCAAAGAGGATAGGATCGAATGCCTGAATCCGGACGTGTTTGTTGAGAGATGCAGGAAATCGAGATTGAACTGCTTTTCTGCATCTCTGCATAAAACAAATCCAGATTCAGGAACTTGATCCTATTCTCTTTGCTGGTGGGACCTTGGCCGTGAGTGTGGGAGATGAAGAGTGCGTCGACATCGAGACCCTTCACCTCAGCGTTACTCTCGGCATTCTTCAGGAGTCCCAGCGGGAAATTGGCAGACTTTTAGCGGGCCATCTAGCCTGCCCGTTGGTCTGACCCTAGTTCTTCGCCTGAGCGGTACGGCCAACACCACCGCGTGTTACGTTTTTTGCGTTTTAGATATTCTTGCTGTACCGATTGTTCATTGGTCAGTTAGTTTTTTTTAACGCATATATGTTGGTATCCGTTAGGGGTGTGCAAGGAGGTACGTCGTCATTCTTTTGAGGCGTGCAGTTGGACTTGGATTGGATAGAGGTGTTTTCTTGTGTGCAAGGAGGTACGTCGTCATTCTTTTGAGGCGTGGAGTTGGGGGCGGCTCGTAGCGCATTGGATTGTGGGAAGATACGCTGCCGTATTTTGCGCAATGTCTCTCGCGGTGGCGACGAATAGCAGTGACGCATGTATACTTAGCCAATAATGGTCCGGGTACATGGAGAGTTTATCCACTGCTTGACTGAGGAGGGTGCGCAATAATAGTTTATCCACTGGAGAGTTTATACACTGCTTGACTGAGGAGGGTGCGCGAGGCCACCGCGTGAAGTCGTTACATTCGTCACTGGAGAGTTTATCCACTGCTTGACTGAGGCGGGTGCGCGAGGCCACCGCGTGAAGTCGGTCGAAGGGAGGGAGCGCGAGATTCGAGGACGCGACGAACTGTACGCAAGGTAGAAAGGCGAGGAGGCGGACTGCGGAGCTGAAGACCACGATCATGGCGCGCTCTGTGAATGGTGTGGCGGCTATGGCGGCCTTGCTTCTGGTCGCGGTTGTGTGTGTTGCGGTCCCCGCACGAGCGCAGCCTCCCTTGGTGACCATCGACTCTGTCACCTACGCGGGCTCGGGCTGCAACTGGGACAATACCAACATTGCGTGGTCGAACAACTACAAGGTCCTCACCGTCATGTTCGGCGGGATGATTGCCACGACGGACTCTGGGCTGGCGGGCAAGCGGAAGAACTGCCAGATCTCGCTGGGCTTGAGCTATCCCAACGGGTTCAGCTTTACGCTGGGGAAGGTGACGGGCCGCGGCTTCGCTGACATTGGTTACAGCTCCACGGGCACCTATCAGACGAGCTACTACATTTCGGGACAGACTGGGACGTCGTACGCGACACGCACGATCCAGGGCAAGTTCACTGGCAACTACGAGTTCACGGACGTGCTGCCGAGGGTCATCTGGAGCAACTGCAACAAYGCTCCCAACCTCAACATCAACTCGGAGGTGCGAGTGGATGGAAAGAAGGCCGTCATGACGCTCGACTCCTCGGATCAGAAATTCAAGCTCCTGTTCAACATCGACTGGCTGGCCTGCTGATCATGCTCTCAATGCACTCGTCGTATACGGTTGTCGTCCGCCGGGCGGAGTCGTTTCGAAAATCCGGTCTGGCAAGCACACAGAGGACGACCGCCCTTCTCGTCTGGTCGAGACTGCGCTTTGCAATGTTACGTTGTCGTCTAGAGAGTAGCGGGTAGTAGCGAGGGCAGACGGTCCTTGGTTTTTGTCGGAGCGAGCGGGCATGTGTGCTTCGCGAGCTTAGCAAGGTCGCCGGTTGCTCTGGGTGGTACCACCCGTCATCTAATGTGTATCTTTCGTATGGTTAGGTAACGACTGTTAGCTGGGCACTCATCAGATCTTTCGGCTAAAACGCAAAGTGTAAAAATATGTTTGGTGTAACAATGGCTCCTCAACCCGCAGGCAGGCGTCGTACCAATCTCTCTCTCTCTCTCTCTCTCTCTCTCTCTCTCTCTCTCTCTCTCTCTCTCTCTCTCTCTCTCTCTCTCTCTCTCTCTCTCTTTCGCTCGCTCGCTCGCTCACTGTCTCTCTCGGGAAACTCCTCTCGACCTCTCAGAGGATATGTTTGACGACATGGGCACGATCTTCTCTGTTGTGTTCTTCGACACCGTTGTTTTGAGCAAAATTATCTATACCCCCTGTGTTCTCTCTTTTTCAGCCCCTCTCTCTCTCTCTCTCTCTCTTCGCTCGCCCGCTCGCTCACTGTTTCTCTCGGGAAACGCCTCTCGACCTCTCAGAGCATATGTTTGACACTATGGGCACGACGTTCTTTGTTGGTGCTCTGCGACACCGCTGTTTTAAGCAAATTTATATCTATAATCCGTGTGTTCTCTATTTTTCAGTCCCTCTCCTCTCTCTCTCTCTCTCTCTCTCTCTCTCCC